AACAAGAATACAGTCATATACTGATGCCACTTGGTAAAGTCAATTAGCAAGTTAAAAAAGTGCTGTATAGATTGTATAGGCACCAAATTTTGCACTGTGTCCTGTGCTATCATGGCGACCATCTCCTGCAATAATAATGCCATCTTGAATGGTCTTTAGCTTTGCAAGCATCTGAGCTTGGTATCTTTGCCAGTACAGGTAGATTGAAGGGAACAGTTCGGTCGAAAATGATAAAAAAGTAAACATCATTATTTATACTGTAATAGCATAAAATCCCAATAATAAGCCCCCTCAAACTCTCAAATATAAATATCCTCGTACTAATAGGAGTCCACAGATTGTTAATGGTAAGCTGTTTTAGCAGTGTTCCAGCCAGAAATTTCTACTTTAGGGCCAAAGTGGCCCCTACAACCCATTTTTTGGGGCCAGATATTTCAAGGAAGGGCCAATGTACCAGTATCTTTCTAATATGCAAAAGAGAAGAAGCAGTTGGAAAGTTAAGGAAATGAAAATGGCAGTTTATTTGAAGCTGACAGGGAGCATCCCTCTTTATACACAAGAGAGGAAATCTTCGGTAATAAAGCAAACAGTACAATCAGAATGTATGCAATAGAAATAGTAATTTTTTCAATCAATGAAATCTTGTCACGAGGAGACAGACAGCTTTAAAGCGCCCTAAACATTTAACTCAACAGAATCGTTTTTAGCAGATAACTTTCCTGTTGTAGTTCACTACTTTTTCTAAGGAGATGAACGAAGCAACAAGGCGAACAAACTGAATTACAATTGAGGTCATAATTTGCCCCAGCAGTATGCAGTATCCAGTTGAGTATGCATTTTATATACAACTTTTCATTATACAATGTTTATTTTAAAAACATGCAGATAATATATTAGTGAGATACATTAAGGCTTGTTGTTATTGATTGAAATCTTGGGGAATTCATTGCTTGCATTATGCTCTGTGTTTGTTTTTATTTGAAACTAATATTCTAAGATTAAGCAGGTTCTGAATTATAGTCACGCATACAAAGTGTAAGAAAAAACAAGCTTAAAAAATACAACATGACTCAACTATGTATTTTATACGTCATAGTCTCCTTTTTGTCTCATCACACATTGCTACATACAAAAAACAGCTGCGGGGGAGACAACAATTAATATTTTACTCTCTCCTTTTTTAATCTTACAACCTTGAAGACCATGTGATAACCTAAACTGAGATACAATATATTATTTACTACTGTTCCAACCCCTTGATCTTTCTACATGGGGCCGCACTTCACTTTGAATATTGTGTGAATATTGAGTAGCACTAGAAATGACCTTTCCAGTCACATTTTCAGCCAGAATTTCATAACTAAGCAAGGTATCAACTTAAAACTTGGCCATGATATAGAACTTTGACAGACCTATCATTTGAAGTGTCAATCAAGTTGCCATGGCTACCCTGCTGATGTCATCAGTAAATAAGTGACAATAATTAGCAAAACTTTGATCAAAATTAAACAAAATTTTGCCTGTAAACAAAGAAATTGGCGTTTTTGAGTCTTTCTTGGGTTTACAAAAAATGATATAAGTTAAGGGGTCTTTTTTCCATGGAAACCACTTAAATTACTTGAAATGTTATGTAACACACTGTATACATTAGTTATGCCAGCTCATTTGGATAAATAAACAGTGTTATCATAATTAGTGTTAATTTAGCAATGGTGTTTACTTCCACAGCAGTAGTTTCCTCTCCTCTGACTTCCCCAACTCAAGAAGGCCCATTGAATATGAAAGAATGAATGATGGTAAATTTTAAGCTTGGT